ATCTAGAAATAGAAATTCCATTTGACCCAGCAATCCTTTTACTGGGTGTATACCCAAAGAACTATAAATTGTTCTACTATAAAGATACATGCACACGTATGTTCATTGCAGCCCTGTGTACAATAGCAAAGACGTGGAACCAACCCGAACGCCCATCAAAGATACACTGGACAAAGAAAATGTGGTACATATACATCGTGGAATACTACCCAGCCATAAAAAAACAATGAGTTTGTGTCCTTGGTAGGGACTTGGATGAATCTGGAAACCATCATTCTCAGCAAACTGTCACAAGAACAGAAAGCCAAACACCACATGTTCTCACTCATATGTGGGTGTTGAACAATGAGAACACATGGACTCAAGAAGAGGAGCATCACACACTGGGGTCAGTTGGGGGCAAGTAGGGGAGAGACGGGGGGTGGGGAGGATGGGGAGGGATATCATGGGGAGAAATGCCAGATATAATATGCACCTAAAGTAAAATAAAAATAAAAATAAAGAAAACAAACAAAAATGAAAACCAATAGTAACAAGATAACTAGGAAAATACCAAAATTTAAAAATTAAGTAACACCTTACTAAATAACTTAGGGAGAAAAATAAATCACAAGGAAAATTAGGAAATGTTTTGAACTAAATAATAATAAAAATACAACATATCAAAATTTGTGGAATGCAAGTAAAATGATACCTAGAGGAATAATAGATTCATATAAAGTTAATATATTAATAAATTAGAAATAGAAGTCCAGAACCAAAATAAATATGAGGAAGGAAGTAGCCAAGATAAGAGGAGAATCAAACAAATAAAATAGAGATAGAGAACAGAAAAGTTAGTAATGTACATGTCTCTTTCTTTGACAAGATCAACAAAATTAGTAAACCCCTGTCTGGACATCACAAATAAAAAGAAAAGAACCAGAAGAGACCAAATGTCCAAAATGAATAAGCAGTCAATAACCATAGATAACTGATAAAGAGAATACTATGAATAATTCTTTGCCAAAAAGAGACAAAATGAAATGAACAGATTTTATTACAAATTTAACTTACCAAAATCAATACAAGAATGCATGCAATTTTAAAAAATTAAATCTATTATCAAAGACTTCCTATAAAAAAAAAAACTCAGGTCCAGATAATTTCATTAGTGAAATCTATAAAATACTTAAGGAACAAATAAAATCCATTTTACAAAAACTTTTGTGTAATAGAAGGGGAGTAAATACTGTCCAGCTCGTTTTTTGAGCCAATCTAACTGGAGTAAAAGAGAAATCCCATACAGACACTACATGAAAAGAAAATTGTAGGCAACCATAACATACTGAATATAGGCACAAAAAACTCCTTAATAAGCATTAGCAAATCAAATTAAACAACATAAGAATAATACATGTTTGGCCACACAGGATTTATACAGGAAATTCAAGGTTGGTTACCCTTCAAAAATCAATGTAATTAATCATATTATAAAAAAAGAAAAAAGTAATAAGGTCATTTCAAAAGATGAAAAGTTATCTAATAAAATTCAACAAATATTCATGATCAAAATTTCTAGAAAGCTAGAAGGAATATAATATTTCCTCAATCTCACAAAAGGCTTAAAGAACCCAGAGGTAATAACCAATTTCATGGTAAAGACTAAATTTTTTTCTCCTAAGATCAGAAACAAGGCAGATACCTGCTTTCAGCACTTTCATTCAACATTTTATTGCAGATCCTAACCACTGAAATAAGTCAAAAGAAAGAAATAAAAGGGAAAGAAATCAGAAACTAAATATAAAACTTTCTATTCACATAGACATGTTTGATTAAATAGAAAATTTTAATGGAAAATATAGGTAAATTTAACAGCTATTAGGATACAAAGTTAGCATTAAAATCTGTTGTATTCCCTACATTTATAAATATATCAATACACCTATATATACATTATATAATACATCTATAAATTTACTATAGTAAAAATTTATTTAAAATAAATTTTAAAACAGTTCAATTTAAAATAATCCAAGTATATGTATATATAATGTACATATATACAAATATTATATAATCTAAATATATATGTATGTGTGTATATATATCCAAATATATATGCATATGTATATATAAGTTTTATATTTGGATATTTCTAATATATGTATATTCCTACATATATGTATGTATTTAGGAATAAGTTTAACATAAACATTGAAGACCTTTACATTTGAAACAATAAAGTATTACTGAGACTAGAGAAAATATTATAAAATTATAACTTATTGAACAAATATTATACCTCAATAATGCTCTTTTAAAAATGCCAAAACGTACCCTTTTACTGTATACAGTGTACTGTATATAAATAATACCTGAAAAAAGATGTAACGATAGATAAATTGATAAATAGATCAATTGGTAGGTAGACAGTGAATTTTTAAAAACGTGATTGGGTTTCAAATTAATTTTGCTAAGAAGTAGTAAACTCAGCTTGTGTGTCTGTATCATTTGTTTATCTCAAGTCTAGTACTAGGGCTCTTGAACTAAAATGAGTAAAATGTCAATAGATTAATTATAAATATTTAATAGTACAAACATAGATTAATGAAGCTCTGTGCCTATAGTAGGCAAGTTGTTTGTTTGCTTTTAATCAGGCATTATTAGATATTACTCAAAATGTTCCTGTATTTCTAGTCCTGAAGCTGATCACAGTGTCTGGTGTCTAAACTGTGAATAAAATGCTGTTTAGAAGTCTTGCTCTCTCATGAAACAGATGAAGAGGTTTATTGGTAAATTATAAAACAAATAGCATTTTTTATAGTTTAATATACAACCATGATACTTGAAATTATGGCTGACCCTATGCTTAAATGAATTAAAATTACTTTAATTCACTTTTAGTGGTATAACTGTCATACAGTCCTTAAAACATAAAATTTCCTTTTCTTTATTATCTATATAGAATGACTAGACAACTCTGTCTTTCAAAAACTTTAAAAATTCACAAAAATTATAAATGCTTTCTCAAAAAGTTACTATGAAAACTGATTTGTCAATTGTAATGATCAATAGAATAAATAAAACAGTGATTTATTTGCAGCATAAACGTGGACTTGAATAAATTATTTATCTTTATAAAGATTAGAGCTTAGGGTACACCTCACACACACTTTGTCTAAATAGTGAAAACACATGTCGGAAAAATGACAGTTCATTTGCATAACCATGAGGATATTTAATGAACATGCTAATTATTGTGTTTCATATTTTATATTTAGACACGGAACTATGTAAAAAGAGTATCAACTGGTAGAACTTACATACCTATCTACGTGCATGTGTAATTACTCTTTCCAGGTAAACTGTAAAGTGCAAACTCCTAATTATTACTGAGACAGGCTTATATATATTCCTTTTTACCATTGAAATTTTCCTTGCTCTTTAGAATATATCTTACAGAGAATTTTCGTTTTTCTTGTTAAGCATTTGGGGAGATTTGCCAGTGTTAATCTCCCAAACTCCTAAACTGTACTAAAATTGAAGGCTTCTAAAAAGTTGTTTTGGTAACAATGAGAATCATTATCAAAAGGATAGGGTATAACCACGCAGTTTCTCTCCTGACTTCCTTCTGAGCTGGCACCACATTCTCATTGCCTGGGAGCCTGTTCACTGCCACAGGCACCTCCCTCCCTCTGTCTGGGTGAGTGGCATCAAGATGAGCTGTTAGAGATGGTGAATGCTGAATAATGGATAAGTGAGAGTCCACTGACATAGGTTTGACAGCCATAAAATATGATTTTTGTGATTGCCTTTACATTCAAACTCAGGGAATGATGGAAAGAATATTATTTCTAAATGCCAAGCTAACTAAAATTGTGGAGATTTTCAGTAGGTGTTTCTCTTATTAGTGCTTGAAGCAATTATAGAGAGAATGGGTCAGTGCAATTTTCCTTTTTTACTGAGAAAATCTTTTCTTGCTACGGCATTTTAGCTATTCAAATTCAAATCAGGCTTCTCATCACGAATGTTCTGTTTGTGAGAGACCCTGCAAATAAGCAGCAGATCCCCCCACCCCCTACACCCTGTCTGCCCAATCAAGCTGCATTTCCAGTGGGGTGATGTAATATGGTATTAAATCAACAGGTAGAATGGAATGAACTTGCATTTTGCTTTATGAAAATTGTTTAACTTACTGGCATCCTGATATATCATGTATATTTACTTTATTTCTCTGGGTTAATAATATAATCTCCTACAGCATTATGGGAAATCAGATCTAAAATGAATATGAACACTTTTACACATATTAGGCCTCTCTGAATGAACACGTTTTCAATGAATTCTGAACTATCAAAACTGACGTATTGCATTTGGTAAAAAAATGAGATTGAGTTGAGTATACTAAGAGAAAGTAGATTGGTAGGGGCAGGTATAGATGCAGGAAGGAGTCTGTTCATTCTGACATATTGTCCTGACTGAAAGTTCCTTCTTTCATCTTGTTTTGCAGTCATAATGACAGAGGCTTTAACATTCATATTTGTGAATGTTAAGGAAGAAGAAGGCCCTATGAGTAGCTAATTCAAGGTTAAAGAAAAATTAACAGAACGTTTTCATAGTGAGAACAACAAGACGAAAAATGTGTTGACTTTTTTCTAAAATAGAAATTATTAGGATTGGAAGTTTCCATTGACCATTGGAAAAAGAAAAAATGGCCCAATGCACTTTTTGCATCCCATAACCTATAAGCAAGGGCACACACCAGAGCAAGCACCATTACCAATCTCTCTAGATCAAACACCTGAAATCCCAAATTCAAAGAAGAAATGTTTATGTGTGCCTGTGTGTGTATGTAGATAGAGAAGTTTTTTTTTTTTTTTTTTTTTTTTTTTTTCAGATTTAATATATGCTGTTAAATTGAAGCTGTAATCCCAGGGAATAGCCTTCCAAGAAAGAAAATGATTTAAAATAAATCATTAATTCCCCTTAATAGAATAAAAAAAATCACAGATACTCACCTAATCTCTCAATTGAATAATATCGCTGCTTGCTGTCCACGCGCACTGTCTCAGCATAAGGGCTCCCAACACCATAACCGATAATATAACCTCGGACCACAATGTTTGGGTTCAAGGGAGGCGTCCAACTCATGATGATGCAGTTAGTCTGGGGCCTCACATGAAGAGAGCTTGGTTGATCAGGAACTTGAGATTCTAGGATTCAAAAAGCATCATCATCAGCACTGCATAATAGAAAATGTAGCATGGCAGAACACCGTTTAAGCAAGACAAATCATATTTCATAGATGCTCAAATAATGCATCATCTGTTGCCCAAGTCACTCTTTATTTCAGCTTGTGATATATTTTCTATGTTTGATTTGATTTTCACAAAATTTCTTAAGCATACAAGAATACCAAATTCTTTCCATGGGCATAGTAGGTAGCATCAATGCATCTTTATTCAAATAGTTTCTTACTTAGGTTTTTTTTTTTTCTTTCTACATATTTCTTCTTAGGTTTCATTAATGAAGGATGAAACCAAGGCAGATATAAGAATAATAGAATGGAAAATAAAATGTCAATGCTGTCTTATCCAATAATTATTTACTTTATCTAAATACAAAAACAAATTAACCAGTCCTTTCTTAAGTAATTGCCTAGAGAAACAGTTAAGAGCCATGATCTGTCCAGCATGATTAGGATAGTACTTGATTCATGGTTTATTAAATCAGTGAAAAATATATTTATTATTAAAAGAAAGAAGACAGTGTCCTGGATTAAAGCCTCACAACCTTTGGACCTGTGCAAATTGGTTTAATGCCATGTTCTGTCATTTACCAACTCTGTGTCCTTGTGAAATTATTTCACTTCTCTGAGTTTCCCTTCTGATTAAGTTGGCATTCCAAATATTGATTGACTGAAAGTTTGAACTCTGCTCTAAGAAAGAGCTCAAACTTGTTCCGTATACTCACTGTCTGTGAGATTTTGAGAAATTACTTATCCTCTCTAAGCTTCAGTTCCCTAAACTGTAAAATGAAGGTCTTGTGTTTAGAAGACTTAATGAGATAATTCATACAATCATACTCATTATAAGTAGCAAATAAATTCTCAAATATTGTTAGCTATTAAAAAGAGAATGTGCATGCCACCTTGACACACGTTTTCTTTTAAATGGATTGTGTGTCAAAATTAATAAATTTTAATAATACATTGATGGTCTGATTTTTATGTTGTCATTCTTCCCTGTTTCCTAGCTTAAAAGAATTTTTTTCTGGGTGCTGATAATTATTCAATTAATAAATATTTATATAACACCCATTATGTTTGAGGTGTGGGGCTAGGTACCTATAATGTTCAGGATACAGGAAGAACAAATATGGCAGACATAAAACCCACACTATTGGATTTTATAGTCTAATGAGAAACAGAGGCAAGTAAAAATGCAGTTACAATAGATTATGATCAATATTTCCATTGACTAAATACAAGCACATGTAGCCTATTCTTTGAAAATCAGTAAAGTATTATGCAAAGATATGTAAGAAAGAATATGCCCATCCAAACTTCCATAAGTGTGAACACAGTTCTTGGCAATTAATGAGTACTTAAAAATATGAGTGATTTGAATTTTATTCAAACTATTCTACTCTTCATTATTTATGTACCAGAAATTTCTGTGTCCATTGCTTCTGAAAATCTCTGAAAGTAATATCTGCCCAATTATGTAAGAAAATCTGATGACTAGAGGTAATATTACATTTTTCTCCTCAACATAATAGCAAAAGCTGGCACAATCCCATCCACCTTTACCCATATTCAGAATTTCCAATTCTAGCTTAAGTGATAGATGGAAGCATTTTCTTATTAAGGTTTTCAAAATAGGTGCCATACCGATAGCTTTTCAATAGATTCTAAAGATACCATGTCAATAGAATTTTCTAGATACTTTTCCCCCCAAAGATGGCCCTTTGTGAACAAAAAGAGAAAGCTATTATTTGTATGCCCTAAAAAAGGACTATGATATAATATGCAAAGACATCATAAAAAATGTATCTCAATCAATTTGGATTCAATGTGGATATAAACCTTAACAGAAATACAATGTGAAGTATTTCCTAATATAAACTCTAAGTAAAAGTAATAAAAGAGATGAAAAGCATGGATTCATACTTTTCAATCCTACTGGCACAGTCTCACCAGTGCCCTTGAAATGTAATGAACTCTTCAGTCAGTTCTGTTTAGCACATTTCAAGTTTTTGCAATAACCATTAAAACAACAAGATAATCTGCCTCATCTTACACCAAGAAAATAAACTAGGTCTTCCTCATTTATGACTTTTTAAGAGCAATATGAAGTCACAATGATTTGAATAATATTTAACATCTTTTAGAACAAAAGGAAAAACTATTAAAATGTTTTCAGAACAGTACTTATGTCTCCATATTTCTGCAAACCATAGAATAGTTCTCTTGCAAATTGGTTAAGTTAGTAACTATGGAATTTTATTCATTGGAGCTTTAAACATACCATTGTAATGAGGACATCAACTGGCTCTTGAAGAGGAGGAGCTATTAGAACATAAGACTCCCCTTCATCCTTCACTGCATGAAAATGTTTCAATCCTAAAGGCAAGCCTCAAAATAATGTTTAACATTAGAAAAAATGTTAGTACATAGAAGATATGTTGCCTCTTCATCTAAATATCAATTAGGTTTGTGTGTGTGCATGTGTATGTGTGTGTGTGTGACAGAATCTTGCTCCATCACCCAGGCTGGACTGCAGTGGTGCAATCACAGCTCACTGTAGCTTCTAACCCTCTGGCTCAAGCTAACCTCCCACTTCAGCCTCCCTAGTAGCTGGGACCACAGGCATGTGCCAGCAAATCCAGCTAATTTATTTATTATTTTATTTTATTTTTGTAGAGACAGAGATTTGCCATGTTGTCCAGACTCGTCTTGAACTCCTGGACTCAAGCAATCCACCCACCTCAGCCTCCTAAAGTGTTGGAATTATAGGTATGCATCTACATGACCAGGCTTAATAACTCTTTATTACCAAATTAAGCCCATAGGACCAAAAGGAGAGTTCCTATCAAGGTAGTATTAGATCTAAGCCATTCATAATATATGGCCTCATCATGATGATAACTATGCCAGGAGATTGTTCATAATGGAGGATAGCCAATTTATGCCCACTCACTTCTAAATCCAAAGGCAGAAATAACAATTTTCCTTTTATGCTACCTGACTCAGTTTTCTATAACACAGATAATCTTATGGATTAGGAAAGTGGCTACTATTGGAATGCACTATAAAACATCAATGTAGAAAATATGCTGTGGAAGATATATGAGTAATCCTTACTTGGAGTCAGAAACTGAAATTTGCTGCTCAGACATGAAACAGTTTACAAGTATCTCTGGGACATTGCTTGCAGAAATGAAGCATAGAGGAGTATTAGGGCAATTATTGAGTGAATTTGGAACCAAAGAGCACATTTTGCCTGAAATATTTAAATTAACGAGGTCTGATATGGTTTGGTTGTGTCCCCACCCAAATATCATCTTGAGTTGTAGCTCTCACAATTCTCACCCATTGTGAGAGGGACCCATTGGGAGATAATTGAATCATGGGGGCTGGTCTTTCTCATGCTATTATTGTGATAATGAGTAAGTCTCACAAGATCTGATGGTTTTATAAAGTGGAATTTCCTTGCTCAAGTTCTCTTCTCTTGTCTGCTGCCATGTGAGATGTGCCTTTCACCTTCTGCCATGATTGTGAGGCCTCCCCAGTCATGTGGAACTGTGAGTCCATTAAACCTCTTTCTTTTATAACTTGCCCTGTCTTTGGCATGTCTTTATCAGCAGCATGAAAACTGACTAATACAAGGCACCAAATTATCACTAGAGTCTGAATGATCAAGATAACTAGGTTAATTGCCATTCTTGATTATTTTATTGAATTATGGATTCTCTCCTGGTATACTTTGGTTCTAATGAACATATGTTATTTTCTGCAACATGTATGTAGACATGATATTCTTTGTAACATATATGTCATATATGTAGATGTTATTCTTTGCAACAGATATGTAGACATATTATTTTTAACATGAATGTAGATGTGTTACACCGATTTCTACTAATGTGTAATGTTCACATGCAGTATACTAGGTCATGTATTATATTAATCCCTGTGACATTTCAACAACTATGCATCTCCTATATACTAGTCATAGTTCTAGGTACTGAAAACATAGTGTTGGGAAAGGAAAGACAAAAAGTAAGTCCTAATAATGAACAAATAAGACAATTGTGAGATCTTGATGAGTACTATGCTGATGGGATAACAACTGATCCATCAAGGAAGTTCTCCCCATTTGAGTCTAAGGTGGATGATCTGAAAGAACTAGTCAAGCAAACATCAGAGAGTAGTAAGCTCTGTAGGGAGAGGGAACAACTACTGCAAATTCTCTACTGCAGGGATGAGCTTGGTATTAAGAGAAACCAAAGAGAATCACCACACCTGTAACTCTTTTTATCTTTTTCATTCTCTGTCTTATCCTTGATTTTCCAGGTGTGGAGACCATAAAGTTACTTTTGCATTTATCTGGGTGGCTCTTGTGAAGATGATATAAAGTGGATAGATTTAGAACATTTGTAATGTATAGTTAACAGAACTATAGAGTAGATGTGAGTGGTGCAGGAAAAGGGAGATTTAATCATAACCCATAGGTCTTTGACCTGGTAACTGTTGGTCAATGAACTGAAATGAGGCAAAACAGGTGAGTTTTCCTTGGGTCATGTTCAACATGAGATGCCGATTAGTCAAACCTGTGGCTCTGAAAAAGTAGTTGAATATGTGAGTCTGGGATTTTGGTGAAAGGTCACAGTTAGATATACACAGATGTGGAAGCCATCAGCATATAGATGGTGTTTAAAATAAATGTGTATGAATATAGATATAGCATGAACATGTGTATACAAAACTACATTTAAGATCATGTTACTGCTCTGCTCAAAACCCCCTATAGTGTTCCCAGGCCACATTGCGGGCCATGTTCTTTACAATGGTCTGAAGGCCATAAATGATCTATCTGTCTCTCCGCTTACCTCTCTACCTTCTTCACCTGTGATTTTCCCTTCCTTCACCTCACTCCAGCCATCTACTCCACACTGTATACTTTTTTTTTCCTCCTAGTGGACAGCTAAA